TGAAGCTAATAGAGCTTTTGACTTCAAATCAAGAAGTATAAATAATAGGAGTCCTCAGACTATTCCTCAAATATATATATCCTTGACAATGCACAGTTCTGGTTTCCATATAAATGAATGGGCATAAATATGCTGGAATATATACAGAGATGGACAATGAAATGTTCCTTTCGAAGAGAGACAGAATTTGCAATCTCTGGAGACGCTCAGAAATACAGGGTTTGATTGAAGTGTATACAAATGGAAACCTGTAAAAAAACAGAGGAGATAAAAATAACGTGCTGAAAATATTTAACCAAGGCTGGACTATGAGAAATGAGTATAGGATAAAATAATTGTTTATAGAGGACATAAGGAAGTGTTGATCTGGCGCTGAGTTGTTGATGAGGAGAACAAAATTTCGGTAACGTCACTGAAATAATAACTATGAATGGCTTTAAAAACAGGCTGGACAAGTACGTGAATAGATGTGAGTGGGTGTGAGTTGAACCTGATAGGATGGGACTGTTGGCCTGCTACAGCCCTCCTTATGTTCTTACGACTTAGCCGATTCGGACAAAACTTACCTATTAAGATTGCAAATACGGAACAAACCCCACCCAAACCCAAAATTAGAGCAGTTAAATCAAATCACGAGAGACTGGGGCTTGACCCATGGCAGATGAGAGAGAAAACTCACAGACCAGTGTGGTCAACACTGGCTCTAATATTTTTTTACACCTTAGGGCGGCTAGCCTGTGAATTTAAAGACTCACTTGCCATGGGTTTAAATCCTACCCGTTCCGTGATTTCCTTACAATCAAGTTATTACGATTTCGCGAGGTTAGAAAATCAATCCCTCCTAAACCAAGCTAAGTTAAACCAGGTTTAGTTGGCAAGATGAGGTTAGACTAAGCTCGATTAGGTTAAGTTAGGTTAGGAGAGATTAGATATTATCTCATGGATTTTTAATAAGAGAACAGACAACAACAGAACCTGGAGACAGTTATCAGAGGTCACATTCCAACAGCCCAGCGGCATCATGAAACAAAGTGCTCGGTATCACCAGTCCTCTTGCTAAGGTAGTTACCGAATAAAATCCATGAACAAATGCAATAGTATTAGAACCCGCACAGCACTTCAACACGAACTTAACACGTAAACAAGTAACACCATCGTTCACACAACACATCAACAAGTACAAGTAACACCATCATTCACGCATCAACAAGTACAAGCAACACCATCATCTCTACAACACACTGCATCAGATGACATAAATTCTCTTGACATCTCACCCATTGCAGATCATGACATGTTGCATTACTTCCTGTAGTGACTTGACAATTCTCTGTTTAAAGAAAAATGAGAGCTAGGGGTAAACGCTTGCTTTATACATAGTTGCATTACCAGGACTGGAGGTACAGAAACTGGCAGATAGAAAAAGTTCAGATTGTATTTTCTGTTAACGAAGTTATTTTGCGAAGTCCCTCGTTCAGTATCTTCACTCTTGCTCTTTCACCACCTGTTAAGATATATACTCTCACACCTGCTGCTCTCTTCATCAATTGCCAGGTCTTTCATAGTCACCCATAAATACTCCTTTCTCTCATCTGCAGCCTCATTTAATGTCTGCCAGGTACTACATTCACACAATGCTGCTGCCATTAGCACCTGCTAGCTTTTATATCCACATAGTTGCAGCCTCCTTCGTCAGCCCCTCCTTCACCACCTGCTGCCTCTTACACCTGGTGTCTCCTTCACCACCTGCTGCCTCTTACACCTGGTGTCTCCTTCACCACCTGCTGCCTCTTACACCTGGTGTCTCCTTCACCACCTGCTGCCTCTTACACCTGCTGCTTCCTTCACCACTTGCTGCCTCTTACACCTGCTGCTTCCTCCTTCACCTGATTCTTCCTATAGCACCAGCTGCTTCCATCTGTATCTATTGTCTTTTTCTCACCATGAGGCTTCCAACACCACCTGCTAGCTGCCTTTCCACCTGCTGTTTCCTGCACTTACTGCCGCTTCAGCACCTGCTGCCTCCTTCTCCATCTGCTGTATCCTTCACATTATATTGACTACTTCAGCATCTACCGTCGCCTCCTCCTCCTGCTGCATCCATCACCACCTGCTGCCTCCTACACACATTCTACCTTCTACTGAACCAGCCGCATCTTTCAGCGCCTGCTTCTACGACAGCAGCTACCAGATAATCGCCCCCGGAGGCCTAGTCTCAAAAAACATACCTTTGATATATCTTTCATATACCTTTAACATTTTCGAGAGTTTTTCTACTCCCATAGCCCAGTCCTGGGCCAGGCTTGCCTGGTCAACCAGGCTCTTGCTACTGGCAACCTGGTGGCCCATATATCAATCAATGCCTCGGTACTTTCTCAATATTATGCGTAAACTCAGAGAAGACTTATTATTCCTATTACAGGAAGTAACTGTTGATCTCTAAGACACCTCAGACTCTCAGAGGATGCCTTGAATTCTTACAGTTCCGTGAACACACCTCCTGCATTACCTCTCCCACTTCCATCCATCTTACTGTCTTGTTCTCCACATGCAGTTCGCGTCACACATTCTTGCCCTTTTTTGACTTTCCTGGGTTTTAATAATTGTTCCATCACTCAGGAGTGCCACATCTCTTTATTTATTTTTTTCTATTTTTTTTTGTATTTTAATGCATATTATAGAAAGTAATTCAAGACAGAACAGTGGAGCTTCAGCAGTTGATGTGACTGTTTTCCTCTGGCTGTAAAACTGAGTTTCATACCACGGTCGGCCATCTTAGCAAAGTATAAAAAAAAAATTGTTCGTTTCCTGATATCTCATACAGTTGAACAGCATTTCAGTTTAGATTTTCATCAGACTGAAAACCAAGTTAATTTAGCTGAATGATATACAAATGTAACTCCTCTTATTCCTCTACTTCTCTCCCCTGAAGAATTGAGACACTTGTGCAATATATGGGAAGCCTCACAGTGGCTTCATCAGTCCTATACAAAACAGGAAGGTATAAGGAGAGGAGTAGTTTGAGGTAATCAGTCCCTCAGCCTGGAGTCGATGTGTTTCTTCAGTAAAGGTTCCCATATGTTGCATGTCTCAATCCTTCAACTTGTCGGCCTTCAAAGCCATTTATCACTTCTCTCTTATTAATAAATGGCCTACAGAATCCAGCTTTTTCCAAACCATAATATTTCTGCTTTCAAGCGCGTGAAATTATAACATAATTATTTAGGCGGATCTCACCGTAGGTCTCATGGCGAGATGATTGTCACATCTCTCAGTATCTTGATCTCTGCTTTAACACGTGTAGCTCCTTCAACATTCATACATTCTCGAAAACACGACGAGATTGGCTTATCAATATTTGACTTTGGTGAATTGTAAATGATCTTCACGATAGTATTCACATGTATATCTTTGGGAGGAAAAGATCACAGTAAACGGGTGATACCACAGTATGCAAATCAACCACTTAAAAAATCTATTGAAATTTCAAGCGCTTTCGCGATTTTTCACATTATCAGAGACCTGTGTATATAATCACTGTCAGTCTTACAGCTGACCTGCACGAGCTTGTGATGTCCCTTCCCAGGTGCAGCACAGCCGACTTTTATTTTTAGCGACTTTTGTTTTGTCCCTTGCTGACATCTCCATTAAGAACACTCTAAGAGATGTTAAACAATGCTACTAAAGGTAATATCCAGCTTGATTGCTAGTGCACTCAGCTCACACAGTGAGGTCCGTGGTTCGATTCCCGGTGCGGGTGGAAACACTGGGGCATCTTCCTTAAGACACCTACTGTCCCTGATCACCTACCAGCAATTAGGTACCTGGGTGTTAGTCGACTGGTGTGGGTCTCATCCCGGGGAAAAATTAACCTAATTTGCCTGAAATGTACAGCATAACAAGGAGATTTCTACGTGGAATGTCACTGATGTCAGCTATGGTCTGTATAAGTTGTATCATGAACATGTAGAAATAAAGATATTATTATTATTATTATTATTATTATTATTATTATTATTATTATTATTATACTAAACAACAATACTGTGGAAGATACTGTCAACAACACTGTGGAAGATGTAAGTCACTTTATCTGACTTTCTTGGGTTATCCCAGGTTCTCCACACATATACTGCTGTGTATGATAATCTATGTAACTGTATATGTATATACTAATATACAAATGAACATTATCAATCACTAGTAATAAGAGACCCTTTACTGTGACTGGAACAATACTGTGACTGGAACAATACTGTGACTGGAACAATACTGTGACTGGAACAATACTGTGACTGGAACAATACTGTGACTGGAACAATACTGTGACTGGAACAATACTGTGACTGGAACAATACTGTGACTGGAACAATACTGTGACTGGAACAATACCATGACTGGAACAATACCGTGACTGGAACAATACTGTGACTGGAACAATACTGTGACTGGAACAATACTGTGACTGGAACAATACTGTGACTGGAACAATACCGTGACTGGAACAATACCGTGACTGGAACAATACCGTGACTGGAACAATACCGTGACTGGAACAATACCATGACTGGAACAATACCGTGACTGGAACAATACCGTGACTGGAACAATACACAAATAACCCGCACATACGAGAAGGAAACTGAAAGTGACGTTTCTGTCCGACTTGGACCATGAACTGGTTACACAGTTAATGGTCCAAGTCGGACAGAAACCTCGTCATCAGTTTCTTTCTCCTATGAACTATTTATTTATGTATGCTGCGCAGGTTTAACAACTGGAGTTTGCTGTTTGTGGTAAGGACAAGGACGCATCATTATCAAGGACAACTCAGTGGAGTTGTCCTTGATAATGATGCGTTCGTGTGTCTTTAAATCTAACATTCAGGTGCTACTCTTTTTTTTGTACATCTAACGTAAAAAAGATTTACAGCTATGTACTTGCAATAGCTAAAAAAAAAAATTCTTTGCTAATCATCTGAAATTAGAAGTCAGTCGTACCTTGGTTGTTGTCCTCTGCCCTTCTGTCCTCGAAGGATAACGTCTCGAGGATCACGGTCACACTCAGCCTCAGAAAACTCACGGGAGTCTGAGAACCCTGTGGGTGGACGTAGAGGCCCACCCACCGCCCCCTCCACAGAATACACACTCTCCAGGGTGTTAGACCTGAGGGTGGGGGGGTGGTATGTTGTTCAGGGGATCACAGAGGAGGTTATAGATGAATGGAAGTGTTTTGTGTAAGTTACTGGAAGAGGTCGTGGTGATTTATTGCCTGGAATATTACATTAAGGATGGTGGGAAACGCCGGAGCTGTAGCTTGACTTGGGTGTCTCATACTTAAGAAATGTCTAGCAAAGACATGAGATAATCACAAAAGTATACATAGCAACTGTGTGTATATTGTAGATGGTTACTATAACTTCCATTAAATTAGAAGAGAAGAATATAAGCAGAAAACGTATACTTGCCATGTATTGTAAGATCAAAGATTCCCAAAGAGATTTCCTTGTCAAGTATTGCAAGAGTTAGTATTGCCAACTATTGTAAGAGTTAGTATGGCCAAATATTGTAATAGCTAAGACTCCCAAAGAAATTGGCCATTTTCATGTTCTTAGGACAAACTATAAATTAGTTCGTTTCCTGAGAGAAAAATGTTTTGAACTTAATTTTCTCTTAAAAATATGATATATCGACAATAGTTTTTCATTATATCTCACACGAAAATGATAATAAGGCTGAAAATACGTTTTATTATGTGCGGTAACAAATCATATACGAACGAAAGATTTGAACGAAAGATTTTAACTCAACACTTCCTGTTTTGGATATAATTTATGGTACATTTACAACGTGAAAAAATATTCAAACTTCAATAACTTTGTCTTCACAGCATAAGACAACTTTATCAAAGGAAAATGGAAATTTTCATTCCTTAAAAGATGTTTTAGATTTCTTCAGTTGCAAAGAATAATGACAAACCAGTCAGTAAGTTATCCACAAAAGTTAGTAGTAAGCGTTTATTTAAAGTATAAATATATTTAAAAACGCATTCTGGTTTTTTTTTTATTAAAACGACTTCAGAAATAACTTGCTGAAAGCATTAACCAGACAAAAAAAATATTTGTAAACACACAAAACCGAATCATTCATCACGACAGAACAAACAGATTCGTAAACACACAACAAATCATCATTCAGAACCAAGGAAGAAACAGATATGGACGATAAACATCAAGCACAGATCAACACACAAAAAAGAAGAGACCACAATGCTAGTATCCAGAATGGGACCACAATCACATGTGCAGAAAAATGGAGAGAAGAGCAAAAGAAAAAAATATAGCATTAGTTCTGATAGTTTCACTCCAAATTTCAGTATTTTTGAGGGTTGAAGGAAACCAGATTCAGCCTCCAAATATCCCTACACAATGTTGTCTACCACATAATGTTCAAATCCCAGATGAAAGAACTCATCTCTTACTGAAAAAAAGAATTCAACCCACCTCAAACAAACACAACACAAATCCCAACACACAACACCAACATCAACATACAACAAACACAACACACACTAAACAACACACACACACACACAACACACACAACACACACACACACACACACACACAACACACACACACACACACACACACACACACACACACAACACACACACACACACACACACACACACACACACACACACACACACACACACACACACACACACACACACACACACACAAACACACACACAACACCACACACACACACACACACACACACACACACACACACACACACACAAACACACCACAACACACACAAAACCACACACACACACACACACACACACACACACACACACACACACACACACACACACACACACACAACACAGCAAACACACACAAACACACACACACAAACACACACAAACACACACACAAACACACACACACACACACACACACACACACACACACCAAACACACACAAACACACACACACAACACAACACAACAAACACAACACAAACACACACACACACACACACACACACACACACACACACACACACACACACACACACACACAAGAGCACAATATAGCCTACTGGCTCTTATTTCAAAACTGGTAAATCTGAGAACCAAAAGATGATGATGAGAGGAGAGTGCAGGAGGTGAGCTCCAGTATTTAGATATGTTGATAATTGTCTAATGAACAAACTGGATGAGAAATTAGAAATGAATACACCGGGATTAAAGGAGAAGCTAGAAGAATGTGTACTAAGGAGAGGAAAGAGGTGTTGGAACAAGGGTTGCAAAACTGAAAGAGGAAGTGAAAAAGCTGACAGAAACCATGAAAAAGTAAAAGATTGGAAAGATGTGGCAGGAACAATGAATTAAACAGTAGCGGAGAGATGTCGAATGGATAGTTAAAGAAAATCACTAGCAAAGATGCTCTCAGAAGACGGTGATTAAGTAACGAAAACGATGATTAACATAACAGGAAGGGAAACGATGAAGATATAGCAATCTGAAAGGAATGCCATGGCAGGAGCAAAGAAACAGCTTGCTGGTGATCTATGAAGACAGGAGGCTAATGAGATATCAGAAAGAATGAGATCGGAGGAGGAAAAACGTTATATTATATATTTTATTGTCTGTATAGGAGGTTGAGCAGATAAAGAATTTTCAGAGGATTGGGAAGTACTCCGTCGATACACAATGTCCATCCATGCTAGACTTCTGGACAAATATAAAGGGCAGCAGGATACTGAGAGTGAAAGCGAGACAGAAAGACAATATTATCTTATATAGCAGAGAGGAAAGGAGAGAGGTATAAAGAGAACCCTTGATGGACTATGTAAACGTAAAGAGGAAGAGAGGGGCAAGAGGAGAGAGCATTCAGCCTGCCTCACCTAACTCTTCTAGATCCACCCGCTGCTCCTTTCATAGTTGGCCTTTCTCCAGATTTACCCTAGGTTTTCTTACAGTAACACTTTCCCAACACATTCTGCCTTATCATCACACCCACTACCCTCCCTCTCTTCTACTTACAACACCCATTAGGCTCCTTTCCCTGTACGGATTTAATACACCAGCCCAGGCACTACTGTTTACTGAACACCTGCCCACTCTGGGCAGATGCTCAGCAAACACCATGATTAGGCCACAACAACAGAGCATGGTAATGGAAATAAAATTGAGAAAGTGGATTACAAATGCAGATAGATTATCGAAAAAGCTGATGAATCCGTGGAATGGATAGTACAGGTAACCGCAGACAGAACTAACACAGAGACAAAACTGTCTGAAATCAACTGATTCCTTACTCCGAGCAGAATTCAGAATTCCAGGTAATAAGGAAACAGGGATGGGAGAGGAACGACTATGCTTGTTAGAAATTAGTGGAATTTTGAGAGCACGAGAACAAATAGAAATGGACAATTAACTTACATAACATGGCACAATCAAGGCTAGGTGACCCAAAGTAATGGTAGCAGTGATTTACAGCCCACCACCAAGCATGAGGAAACAAAGATAGGCCTATGAAAAGAACAACATAGCAATGCTTGACACTTTAGTGGAAGCAGGAAGAGCTTATACAACAAACGTGAAGTTTTCAATCAATGGTGATTTCATTTACAAGAAATATGCAAGGGTAAGAAGAGAAGTTGAGCAGCAGTTTGAGTGACCTAGCAGCAAAATTCAAAACCGAGCCAAAACTACATTACAGCCACGACAGAAGAAAAACTGCAGTAAAAGACCAGGAGGTTCAACTCAAGAAGGAAGGAAAAGTAATGACTAAGAAGACTATAAAATGTTGAACAAACTATTTAAAGAGGTACTGTAAGTGAAAACCTGCAATACCTTCGCAGGTTTTCACTTACAGTACCTTTCACTTTCACCTTTGAGTATGTTTTCCAGCGAAGACTGGAAAACATACTCAACTGCGAAATACGTAAAAAATAAAAAAAGAAAAGGTTTACAGTAAGCTGCATCCATCAAAGGCAATGAGACCCGAGAAGGTGTCACCGTGGATTCTGAGAGAGAGCAGAAGCGCTGTCTGAACCACTACCTACAATCTTCAAGTCAATGGTCGCTCTACAATTGCCATAGATCTGGAAAAGAGCTAAGGCAGTTCCAGTAGTTAGAGACAGAGAGGCAGTATTTAAATAAAGGCTAGTAGACACATGTGCAACACTTTGGTGTTGAGGAAACGTTCGCCACACAATGGCTTCATCAGTCCATACAAAAAAGAAAGGTGAAAAACAGGAGTTTGAGGTAATCAGTCCCTCAGCCGTGAGTCGATGTAATCAATCCATTGATCTTCACTTGCCTAACCTTTAGGCACGACCTACTTCCACAGTTGGATTTGTCAAATGTGACACCTCCGACGACTGCTACACCTCACCTGTCTACAGCATATATGCCACTTCGCATGTATGTTGTATTTTTGTCAAGACTGATGGACTAATTACATAGACTCAAGGCTGAGGGACTGATTACCTAAAACTACTCCTGTTTTTCACTATTCTTCTTTGTATGGACTGAAGAAGCCACTGTGTGGCGAAACGTTTCCTCATCAAAGATACCCAACTGTTGCACATGTGTCTAATTTATCAACTTGTCGATTCTCTGAACCATTCATCTACAAAGGCCAGTATGACTGGCATTAATATCACGTAAGAAAATGGTGAAGATATTCAAGAGAGTAGTGGAGTACTGTAAGAAGTGATTTCATGAACAATAATCAGCATGGGTTTAGAGACGGCAAATTTGATCTTAATAACTTGACATCTATAGTAAAGTGAAGTAAGGAAGGTAGAGAGAAGGATGGGTAGTTTTTATATTGCCCCTCACAAGCGACTAATGACTAAACTTTTGGTGCAGGCAATGTACTCCAGTGGATCAAAGAGCACCTTAACGGAAGGAAACAAAAAGTGCTAGTCCTTGAAAAAATGTAAAAATGGGGATGTGTGACGAAGCAGAGTTCTGCAAGAATCTGAAGTATAACCAGTTGTTTCTTATTCATGTGAATCACATACCAGAAACAACTGAGTCAAATGTATGTCTGCTTGCTGATGAAAAACTAAAGAGGAGAATAAAAGCCAGAAAAAGGAAGGACCTACAAATGAATAAGGACAAACTGCGAGATTG